GAACCGATGATCGATCAATTGATTGAGCCAGATGATCTCGCGGAATTTCGTGATCGTTGATAGTTCGAAATGGGATGCAATTTGGAGAGAGAAGAGCTGAAAGAAGCAAGCAAAAGGAATGAAAGAAATAAACTCGGAGATCAATCACGTTGAAGACCAAACTGGATGTGTTAAAAATGGTACGAAATGTTTCTATTCACTGTGCAACCAAATTCTATCGTTCGTTCGTTCGTTTGTCGTTCGTCGTTCGATGTCGATCGTTCTTAAGTGAAACGATACCTGAAACAAGAAGAAGGATTAAAAACAACGAATGGAAAACGAAAACGACTTCAAGGAAGGGATCGATACTCATTAGATATTGATGCACCTGCAAATTGGATCCGAGAGAGAAGAGCTGAGAAGAAACGAGTCGATGTATCCATACCGAAGCGATGAACCGTTTTTTTTTTGAGGCTGATCTCCCTTTCAAAAGAAGCAACGGTTGAATGCAATCATTTCTTCATCGACATGTCGACAACTACATGTCGAAAGCCCCGAAAGATTTCGAAAAACCATTGGTAAAGTATTTCATCGATCTGAATGACAAGATCAAAGAAGGAAATTATAAACACATCTTTGCTTGCGATCAAACTGGTGTTCAACTCGATTCCTCTTCAAGCAAATGTATCGACACAATTGGATCCAAAGAAGTTGCAGTTTTGACAATCGGCCATAAAAAGTTGTCAATAACAATTATGCTGACTGCTCGCTTGAATGGAAAAAAACTGAAGCCGTTCGTTTTGATGCAAAGGGTCAGAGTTGATAAAAAAGAGATGAAATATAAAAATCGTCTGATGCTTTGCTGGAAAAAAGACAAATGGTTCAATGCTGAGATAACCATCAAATAATTGGAGAGATCGTTCAAAGGGGTTGGGGTTTTTTTTCAAAAACTTTGATTCTTTGGTTATTTCGGATCGTTTTGCGTCTCATTAAAGTGAATCGACGAGAGAAAAGCTTTAATTGGATTGTTTCTTTGTTCCTGGAGGAAATAAGAAGTTTGTTCAATATGCAGATTTGCTTGCGATCAAACTGGTGTTCAACTCGATTCCTCTTCAAGCAAATGTATCGACACAATTGGATTCAAAGAAGCTGCAGTTGGATCCAAAGAAGTTGCAGCCTTGGAATGGTCTTTTTAAGGCGCTGACTCAGTTTCAAAGGGTTGGATTTTGCTGCAAGCACCTAAACGCACAAAAGGTGGGAACCCAGGAATGGACGTTCGCTTAAAATGGATTGCTGATGCTTGGGATCCGTCAGAAGAAGTCATTCGTCGATCCTTCAAAAGCTGTGATGTTGGAGTCGATCGAAGTGGTGCCGACGCCTAGCTGATTCACAGTTTTAAGTCCGATGGTCCGATTCCTACAGGAATCGATTCAGGGATGCACGTGTCAAAAAAGAAGTCGATGAGCTCCTGGATCCGCTTACTTCAGCAAAGCTTTTCGATTTTCGTCAAGAAACAGAAATATGTGAAGAAGAATTTGGATCTGATATATTAATTGAATGGTAAAGATTTACAATGACTACATATCATTTTTAGAGATTGCTCTTGTTCTCGTTTTGTTCTTAACCCTTTTTCAAAAGACAGCGTTTCGTTCACCAGTTTTGAGCCCGTTTATGTCCAAGTTGAATAACCGACTGCTATGCAAACATTCCAATAGTTTGAGACAATAAATTTACGGGAGGGTAAAGAGCCGTTCGAGTGTTGGGAGAGGAGAGAACGAGTGAAACGGGTCCCCTGAGCATTTCATCAAAAAGAGAAGAGACAGAGACAAAAGAGGAGAAGAAGCTCAATATAGAGCCACCCTCTCAGCCTTTCTTTCCCATCCTTTGACCCCAAATCAAAGTCTTTTTGCAAGAGCTGGCTAAAAGAGGCTAAAAGAGGCAAAATATGGGCTTTTTCCCCGCCGCTCAGGGCTCTTTTCAGAGCAATTTTCTTGATGGGGGTCAAATTTCTTCAGGGAATCTGTCAATTCTACTAGTTTTGGGTCACTTTTGGTGAGAAGATTGGTCTTTTTCTGAGAGTTGAGGAACTCTCGAATCAACTGGTCACTTTGAGGCTAAAAGTAGCTCTTTAGAGGTAATAGGAATATAGGAAAATGGTCAAAAGAAAGAAAAAAAAGTTTACTTTCAATTTCAAAACAAACAAACAAAAACTCACAATCCACATACGCTCGCGGAGATTTGCGCGGCGGAATTCGTTGAGCATCGTCTTGTTTTCAACGGTTATTTGAGTCTCATTTTGGCTGCTGAAAGCTTGAAATGAATAAAATTATCAAAAAAAGACAATATAATGAAAAGTAGGCTACAAAGTTTTGATAATTTGTTGAAAAACGAAAAACGAAAAGTGGATAAGAGTTGATTGAGGTTAGATGTAAAAATAAGTTGGTAAAAGTAAGTTCTTAACTTTGATAAGCCTTTTCAACAGCTTCTAACAATTGTCAGTTGTCAATTGTCAACAAATTTTGATAGAAGATGCATTCTCTAGGCCAGGGAAAGGTCTGGAGACTCCAGAAGACTCCAGAACTCCAGAAGTTAGGCCTGGAACAGTTGGTGATTAGAAAAATATAGAGTCAATCAAGAAAAAGCGGCCAAAATGGGCAATGGATTTGATAAAACCAACCAATCATATTCAGTTATTATTTTTAACTAATCAAAACAAATCCCTTTCAATGAATCTTGAATTTGGAACTCTTTAGGCTAAAAAGATGGAGAAGAGTCTAGAAATGTTCGTATGTTTCTTTCTTTTTCTCTTTTGGATCTAGTTTTACGGTACCCACGAGGATCAATGCCCGGGTGGAAATCGAGAAAATATGATGCCGTTCTTCTTCACGGAAAAGTATATAACGCTAAACAATAAAAAGTTAGTGTAGATTGATTTTTAGTAAGGAACCAAATTTGTAGTGAAATGGAACCAAATCTGTAGGGAGGAAAGGAACCAAATCTGTAGAGAGGAAAGGAATCAAATCTGTAGAGAAAAGGAACCAAGTCTGTAGAAAGGAAAGAACGGAATTTGTAGAGAGGAAAGGAACCAAATCTGTAGAGAGGAAAGGAATCAAATCTGTAGAGAGGAAAGGAATCAAATCTGTAGAGAGGAAAGGAACCAAATCTGTAGAGAGGAAAGGAACCAAATCTGTAGAGAAATGGAACCAAGTCTGTAGAAAGGAAAGAACGGAATTTGTAGAGAAAAGGAACCAATTCCGTAGAGAGGAAAGGAACCAAATCTGTAGAGACAAGGAATCAATTCCATCAATCAAATCAATCAATCAAAGGAACCAGTACTTAATCTAGTACCGGTCGTCTAGTGGTGTTCTAAAGACATCAATTGTTCAGTTATTCAAAAAATTCAATAACAAGATCCGGATTGATCCACAAGATTGGATAGAATTAAATCGCTTCCAATTCTCTTGAACAAAGTGTGAACAATCGAAAAACTCGATAACAAATGGCGGGTTTACGCAATTTTTCAAAGTAAACCCGATTGGATTCAATGATTTAGAGGGGTTTCGTTGGGCAATTGATTAAACACAGAAAAAAAGGAGATCGAAAAATGAGTTCTCTCTTTGAAAAAGGCATGGAAAAACTCCACATGTGCTCACTTCTCTCAAAAATCGGCACAACAAAGAAATTTGTGGGGACTTTTCTTTATGAACTCATCCGGAAAGCTCTTTTTTGTATTGTATGACGTTTTTATCGTTAAGCGGTAAAATTCAACAATGAGATTTTTTAACTGGGCTTTCTAATAGCTTAGGCTGGGCCAGGCCTAAGCTGACTCAGACTAGGTTTTTCAAAGCATTCTGATCTGGTCAGAAGCCTTCGAAGGTCAGAAGCCTTAAGCCAGAAAAGATTTGTTTCCATTCTGAGCACAGAGTACACCAAAAAGCATTTGTTTGCCTGGAGGAAACTGACTTTTGAACGTATCAAAACCGGTTTTGACTTTTAATTGTTTAATTGATTGAGAAAAGGATCACCATTTCAACGGCCACACATATGGACGAGAAGGGGAGATGGACTGAAGGGGAGATGAAGAGAGAAGAGCCCACCGACACCAGATGGCATCTCAAAGAAGCTCAAAGACTCATCAGAGAAAAGAAACAACAAACTGAAGAAGTCTAGGACATTCCGATGGTGGTTTCTTTGCTAATTTCATTGGTTTCCCAATTTGCATAGATATTACAGCTATTTGTAGGATTTTAGTCAGTTTTAGTTATTTAAAAGCCAAAGTGCTATTTTCTTCACTTTTTGACTAGTTTTTCAATTATATTTACATTTTTAAAGGTTTAGATTTGTAATTAGAATTTCGATAAGTCAAAAATAAGCCTTTTTAATATATACAAATCGGTAAATTTCATTCTAGAATTGAACAAATCGGTAAATTCCAAATTTCCGGTTGGAGTCAAACTCCCAGCTAACAAAAAAAAACCTCTTAAACTCCAAATTTTCATTTCCAAACATTTCAGCTAAGTGAAGTTCACTGAATTCTGGAGAGAGAGGGACTTTCATCAACAAAATTTTCTCTATTAACTCCAAAAGTCATTATATTTTTGCACAAAAGAAAAAACAGCAATTCGGTTTCCTAAAAAACCTTATAACTAAATAAAGAAAATAAAAATGCGTTCAAAATCTAAAAGCACAATGGTCATCAATGGTACAATGGAACTTTGAGAATCTGATATATTTTTCTATTCTTCTATCCATCTCTTTCTCTTTTCTATTTTGTGTATTTTTCTTTCATTTGCCCTGCAGGAGTGTTTTTTCACACGGGTATTCCTGTCACGCTACTACGCCATCCGAAGAATCCACCTCTTTCACTTTGGGCTTTTCGCGCGAAACTAGCCATCGGAAATTCTCAAAAAAAGGCAGCCAGCTGAAACAATCAAACATTTATGTGTAAAGAAAAACACGAGACGAATGAGCTGCTTTATTCAAAGAAAATCAAAAAAGTTTCTGTTTAGTGCCGACTTTCACCATTCAAAGGCTGTTTTTCGTCGTCCCCATTTTCTTTCGTTGGCGCCTGGCATCGGTAACCCTGAAAATAGACAGTACTTCATAATGCCTAAAAGTTCACTTAATAAGAACTGTTCTAAAGTTCACTAATACGTGGTTGAAGAATTGGGATGCACAAAAAGTGCAGGGCTAGACCTACCATCAGTATTAAGATATTTAATCAGAATCAACTCATAACCTATTGAGAATGGCTAAATTCTGAAACTAGGAATAAGAATTGAGCAGATCTGACTTGTTAGTTTGAAAAATTGGGATGCACAGGGAGTGTAGGACTAGATTTACCATTAGTACCAAAATATTTTTCAGAATCAACCGATAACTATTGAGAATGGCTGAATTCTGAAGCCAGGAATCAGAATTGACCAGATCTGACTTAGTTTGCTGGAGAACTGGGATGCATAGGAAATGCAGGACTAAATCTACCATCAGTATTAAGAAAACTATAGCGTTTTGACAAACTCACACAAGTGGTTCGATGCTCTAGTCCCAAATACGCTTCTCGGGCACCTGGCCACGCGTGTTTTCCGTGGATCCGATAAATGGCAGGGATACTTGGTCCAAAGAAGACCTAGAACTGAGTTTGTATCAAGATTCATTATTTGGCAATTTTACCAATTTTACCAATTTGACCCAAAAGTACCTTTCTAAAAAATGAAAAATCGGTGAGGAAGAGTTTGAAATTTTTCGGCATACATCCAAGCATGCCGGCCAAACGATCCATATAAGGATCGTAATCAACCTGAAAATTAAGAAATGGGTTTAAATTGTGAAAAAATAAATCTTAAATCGAAATAAAACAAGATTTACTTCAAAATTGTGACGTTGACTGTTAACGAAACGTTTCTTAGCGGCCTCAATCTCCTGGGCGATCACTCGATTCATTTGATCTACTGGTGGGAGCTGAGAATGATTGTTATTAGGATTAGATGGCTTAGAGCTAATCTTTTAACTCACAAACCTCAACTTCTCCAGCTAATTGAGCGCAGAAGAGGCGAGCCTGCATTTCGGCTGCTGGAAATAGGCCACCCCAAGGCTAAAGTGAAAAAAAGCCTATAAGTGAGTAAAATTTTCAGCTACTGTAGCTCTACAGTGCATATTTTTATCAGAGCTTTTTACCATGAGCAATCCCACAAAGCACAACGTATTCTTATCGAGTTCTGGCGGGAACATGTGCAAGTAGAGGCCGGGATGGTGATTGTTTTCCACGGGGAGCGTCTAAACTGATACATTTTTAGAAAGCTTAAAAACATCAGAACTTTTCCGTTCTCCAGAATCTTCAAGTCGTACGTGAAACCGGTGCAGAAAATGACCTGAAATTGAGCTGGGAAATGATCCTGTGCATCCCAATTCTTCAAACAAACAAGTCAGATCTGGTTAATTCTCATTCCTGGCTTCAGAATTCAGCCATTCTCAATAGCTATTAGTTGATTCTGATTAAATATCTTAATAATGATGGTAGATCTAGTCCTGCACTTTCTGTGCATCCCAATTCTTCAATCAAACAAGTCAGATCTGGTCAATTATCATTCCTAGCTTCAGAATTCAGCCATTCTCAATAGTTATCACTAACTTGGTAGGTTTTCAGTCGAGGCTAAAGACTTCAAAAACTTTCAGTTGTTTGCAAAAATAATCTTACTTCATCGACATTCTGTGCTTCGGTGTCATCCTCAAAAATCACCGACGTTTGAGTGAACATTTTGATCTGTGGCCGCATCACTACAGTGCCAGCGGTGAGTCGAAGGGGTAACTCGTCACAAACAGTGGGATGAGCGCTAAAAAGTCTTCACTTAAACCTAAAGAATCATTGAGTTATCCATTTGAAAATGTACCACAATGGCCCAAACGGTGGCTTGATCCCAGCTTTCTCGTGATCGAATTTCTTGTTCAAGCTCTTTTCGAGCTTTTTGCTTAACCTTTTTGGCGAAGAGAATTTCATCATTACGTGTGTAGTGAATCTATAACTAATTATAAGCGGTAGAAAAGCTTTGTCAACCTGTTTCCCAAGATGTAATCCAAAGGAATGCCCCGGTCAGCCATTCGATTGAATATCCAGACACCACCTCGTCTTGCTACTAGGTAGACCTGAAGAATTGCTTTGAGCTTTGAAAAAAGCAAGCTTTGAACACCACACCTGCTTCGTGACCCTTGCCAACTCGCTTGCTATGTCGGCGCCTGAGTTTCCCACACCAACCACGACAACAGTTTTCTCATCATAACCTAGAGAAAAACTTAGTTTTGCTTTCATTAGAAGCTACCGGTTGGACTTCTGTAGTCATGGGAATGTGAGATCTTTCCAGTGAATGACTCTTGTCCTGGGAATGACTGTGGGTAGTTAGGTGTTGCTTGATGCCCTGTAGCCACAAGCACAGCGTCAAAGACATTTTCGTGGGATTGTCCAGATCTAAAACATTTAAGAATCGATATGAGTTATTCCAAAACTTACGAATCCAGGTACTCGACAGTCCACCTTCCAGTTTCCGCATAGTCGCTGGTCCGCTCGATATTCACCACATATACTAACTGTTTTATAAGTTTCTACAACTCTCTACCTTGTGCTGTAGTTTGATATGTTTCCAAAGGTCATGATGAGTGCAATAGTCTTTCAAGTATCGATGCAAAGCCGAGTGATGCATGAAGATGGGTAATTTCTGAAATATGTTCAACTGGAGTTTTCAAGTCCGCTTATATATAAACTTATTGTCCTGCAAAAACTATGCATCCCAGTTCTTAAGCCAAACAAGTCAGATTTGTCCAAACTTCATTGCTAGCTTCAGAATTCACCCATTCTCAATAGCTATGTATTAGTTGATGTTGAATAAATATCTTAATACTGGTGATAAATCTAGCCCTGCACTTCCTGTGCCTTCCAGTTCTTCAACCAAACAAGTGAGATCTGCTCAATTCTCATTACAAGTTTCAGAATTCACCCATTCTCAATAGTTATCAGTTGATTCTGAATAAATATTTTAATACTGATGGTATTTCTATCCTGTACTTTCTGTGCATCCCAATTCTTCAACCAAACAAGTTAGGTCTGCTCAATTCTCATTCCTAGCCGCAGAATTCCGCCATTCTCAATAGCTATTAGTTGATTTTGATTAAATATATTAATAATGACGGTAAATCTAGCCCTGCACTTTCGGTGCATCCCAATTCTTTAGCCAAACAAGGGGGATCTGCTCAATTCTCATTCCTGGCTTCAGAATTCACCCATTCTCAATAGCTATGTATTAGTTGATGTTGAATAAATATCTTAATACTGATGATAAATCTAGCCCTGCACTTCCTGTGCCTTCCAGTTCTTCAACCAAACAAGTGAATGCTGCTCAATTCTTATTGCTAGCTTCAGAGTTCAGCCACTCTCAGTAGTTATCTGTTGGTTCTAATTAAATATCCAAATACTTATGGTAAATCTAGCCTTGCACTTCCTGTGCATCCCAATTCTTAAGCGGGTCAAGTCAGATCTGACCAATTCTCATCCCTAGCTTCAGAATTCACCCATTCTCAATAGCTATAGTTGGTTGTGATTAAATAATTTTAGTACTGATGGTAGATCTAGTCCTCCACTTCCTGTGCATCCCAATTCTTCAACCACACAGGTCAGATCTGCTCAATTCTCATTCCTAGCCGGAGAATTCCGCCATTCTCAATAGGTTATGAGTCGATTCTGATTAAATATCTTAATACTGATAGTAGATCTACTCCTGCATTTCTTGTGTACCCCAATTCTTCAGTCAAACAAGTCACATCTGCTTAATTCTCATTGCTAGCTTCAGAATTCAACCATTCTCAATAGCTATTAGTTGGCTTTGATTAAATAATTTTCAGTACTGATGGTAGATCTAGTCCTGCACTTCCTGTGCCTCCCAGTTCTTCAATCAAACAAATTACAGCTGCGTAATTTTCATTCCTAGCCGTAGAATTCCGCCATTCTCAATAGCTATTAGTTGATTTTGATTAAATATATTAATAATGACGGTAAATCTAGCCCTGCACTTTCGGTGCATCCCAATTCTTTAGCCAAACAAGGGGGATCTGCTCAATTCTCATTCCTGGCTTCAGAATTCGCCCATTCTCAATAGCTATGTATTAGTTGATGTTGATTAAATATCTTAATACTGATGGTAGCTCTGCTCCTACACTCCCTGTGTATCCCAATTCTTCAGCGAGCCAAGTCAAGTCTGGCCAATTCTCATTTCGAGCTTTAGAATTCAGCTATTCTCAATAGTTACCGGTTGATCCTGATAAAATATTTTGGTAGATCTAGTCCTGCAATTTCTATGAATTTCAAAGATTCAATTGCATTTATCCAAATCCCATTCCTAGCTTCAGAATCCAACTATTCTGGTTAGTTATTACTCTGATTTTTCTAAAGAATCACTTCAATGAAGACAAGGTCAAGTCCAGCACCTGTCCCTCCCAGTCAGAACTGGTCAATTCTTCTAAAGTCTCTAGATCATTTTGACCTTGGTACCTCATCAGGTGGAAAATCCGAATAAGCTAACATCTCCTTTGAGGTGTTGATGACGGTGCTTCGCATAACGTTTGAGACTAAAAATTAAATGAATAGATAAGATTTGAGTTGACGGCGCTTTCTTTTTCAAACTTACGATCAGTTGGGCCCGGTTTATAGTGCCAGAGCCCGCCGATGCCGTTCGATCCCTCGAAACACGTCACATCGAAGTCGTACTCTTTAGCCCATCTGAAATTGTTGATTTAGAGCAAAAAAACCAACGACTAGGTATCAGAATAATAGATTAATTGGATTGATTATTCAAGCTTGGCTTCACCTGATACATGGCAATCCCGATCCCCCAGCGCCGACCACGCAAACGCGTTTCTTCGCGTTTTCTTGGGCTTCCATATCTTGAAGATTGTCAATATCAGTGCAAATCTGAATTTGAAAACAATTGCCAATTATGACTCAAAATAAGCGACTGACTGAAATGTCAAAAGAAAACAACAAAGATTCAAAAGTAAATCGAACAAGATTAGTTTTTGAGTACTTTTGGAACTTGACCTAGTTAGTTTCAGGTTCAGTTTCAGTTTTGGACTAAAAATTTGGATAAGATAAACTAAATTTGTCAATGAATAATCAATAACGAAAAAAATCCACAAAAATAAACATGAAACAGATTCCCAAGAGATTTCCTCCGATCAAAAATGTTTGTTGATCCCGTCTATGACCTTGAAATGCAACTTTCTCATACTCGCATTTCGTGATTTAATTAGTGCATCTCAATTTCACTGGGTATCTTTTCAAGATCTCAAAATCGAAATATCAATTTCTATTTAAAAGTTCAATAAAATGCAAATGTAGAACCTGACTACTAGACAACATATACAACAAGAATAAATTGTAACAGAACTTTCTGCACTGCACCCGCACTTCTTGTGCATCCCAATTCTTCAGCGGGTCAAGTCAGACCTGGCCAATTCTCATTTCGAGCTCTAGAATTCAGCCATTCTCAATAATTATCAGTTGAATCTGAATAAATATCCTAATGCTGGTGGTAAATCTAGCCCTGCACTTCCTGTGCCTTCCAGTTCTTCAACCAAACAAGTGAGATCTGCTCAATTCTTATTGTTAACTTCAGAATTCAGCCATTCTCAATAGGTTATGAGTTGCTTCTGATTAAATATCTTAATACTGATAGTAGCTTTAGTCCTGCACTTCCTGTGCATCCCAATTCTTCAGCGGGTCAAGTCAGATCTGGCCAATTCTCATTCCTAGCTTCAGAATTCAGCCATTCTCAATAGGTTATGAGTTGCTTCTGATTAAATATCTTAATACTGATAGTAGCTTTAGTCCTGCACTTCCTGTGCATCCCAATTCTTCAGCGGGTCAAGTCAGATCTGGCCAATTCTCATTCCTAGCTTCAGAATTCAGCCATTCTCAATAGGTTATGAGTTGCTTCTGATTAAATATCTTAATACTGATAGTAGCTTTAGTCCTGCACTTCCTGTGCATCCCAATTCTTCAGCGGGTCAAGTCAGATCTGGCCAATTCTCATTCCTAGCTTCAGAATTCAGCCATTCTCAATAGGTTATGAGTTGATTTTGATTAAATATCTTAATACTGATAGTAGATCTAGTCCTGCACTTCCTGTGCATCCCAATTCTTCAACCACACAGGTCAGATCTGCTCAATTCCCATTCCTGGCTTCAATTTCACCGGGTATTTTTTCAAGATCTCAAAATCGAAATATCAATTTTTATTTAAAAGTTCAATAACATGCAAATGTACAACCCGACTACAAAACGACATATACAACAAGAATAAATTGTAACAGAACTTTCATCCCATCATTCCCATTCCGCCCATGCCCATCATGCCCATTCTGTTCCTCATGTTCATCATCATCATACGCGATTGCCTGGATTTGTTGTTGGAAAGATCTTCAGATAAGTCTAGTCATAAAGCTACCGTACAGGCCCAAATGGCCTAAGAGAACAGGCAAAAAGACTCACATCATCATCATCCGTTGCCGCCTCTAATGAAAAATATTTTAGAAGGACTTTTTCTTCATTCAAAGATTAAAAGAATAAAATAAAAGATTTAGAATTTGACTTACATCTGCATCATTTGCATTCGCATCATCGGATTTCCACCCATTCCCATTCCCATTCCCATTCCCATCATCGGATTCATACCCATGCCCACTAAATGTCGATTGCTGCTTGGTTTTTACCTTGTGTTCTAGAGTTTTTCAGTAAAACGACTTTCTTTAAAGCTCTGTTATCCATTTAGATTCGGTATTAGATTAAATATTGGGTTGGTGAATTGAAAACTGCCGGACTTTGAACTAAAATTCATTGAACATAAAACCATCAATTCATTCCAAATAATTTCCATTATTATTGACGACTTGTGCCCATTTTACAGGCAATTTGCGGATGCCGCTTTCGTGGTAGGATTTTGGTTTGTGTGTGAGACAAGTGTAAGACTCAAAAATGGAGGACTGGAGACTCAAAAATGGAGGAATGTCCCAGTTTGAGCACTTTCTTCAAAAGAAACCCATTTTGGTGTCAATAGAAAAGTTGTAGAGAATCAAAAATAAAGCTTATACCCAAATTTCCAAAAAGATACACTGAGTAGTTTCGCTTAAAATGCCAGTTTTGTGAAAATTCGTAAATTTGGCATTTCTTGAAAACCAGTTTTTGAATGGTTCTGAAAATTTGGATCTAAGCTTGATTTTTGATTCTCTACAACTTTTTCATTGACACCAAAATGGGTTTCTTTTGAAGAAAGTGCTGCAAACTGTCACATATGACCATAGCCGGTCGTTTTCAATTCACCAACCCAACAGATTGAGATCAGCCTTGATTTGCGGAGATGTCACTATCCAATTTGGGGATTGGGAAACGGTCAGAACAGAGGCGAGAGAGGGAAGGGGGTTATGTAAAAGGCCCTGCGCCAGACGACGAGCGATTACGCGGCCGCACAAAGAACAAACAAATTTTAAGCGAAACTACTAAGTGTATCTTTTTGGAAATTTGACTATAAGCCTAATTTTTGATTCTCTACAACTTTTCCATTGACACCAAAATGAGTTTGTTTTGAAGAAAGTCCTCAAACTGTCACATATGACAATAGCCCGCAGTTTTCAATTCACCAACCCAATAGATTTAAATAAATCTATGATTTATTTTAATTATCTTAACATTAACAAACTGACTTCCAGGGTATCCGAATTGAGCATCGGTGGCTGCGAATAGGCAGAAAGCGCAGAGAAGTAAAGCTTGTAGCCGAGTCATTTAAAAAAGAAGTCTAAATTTGAATATTTAGCGCTCAAGAAGCTTAAGAACAAAAAACTTTAAAGAAAGCTATAAATTTTAGAAAAATTAATCTGTTAATAAATGAAAGGTCAGAGTTTTCTTATCAAAATTAAAATTTTTTTTTTGACCTTGACCAGATTCGTCAGTTGACATATGCCACGTGACTAGCAAATCAGTCAAAATAACAAAAAATCAAAAAATGGACTTTAAATGTGTACCAGAAAAGATGCGTCTACATATTTGAGCTTAAAATACATTGGAATCTAAATAAGCTAACAAAAAAGATCCAAAAGATCCAAATACTGAGAAAATGTGAAAGGAGAGACAAAGCAATTGAAAAATTGATCAATTTCGGGATGGGTTTTGTCTTGACCGTGAAGAAAAAGAACGTTTCCCTTGGTTGCTTTTATCCTTTTCCCCGTTCGTCATGCGGAAATTTAGCGAAAACCCTTTCTTTTCCAATATCTCAAAACTCAATAATACTAATTTGGCGGATCGGTTATCTTAGTCGATTCTCTCTCTATTTTGTTCGCCGGTACTCTTGTCTCGTAAAGTAAAAGTTTTTTAAAGTTTTGAAAAAAAAACTGTAAAAGTTTTGAAATTAGCAGCTAAAAATCTAAATCACGTCACTTTTGAGTTTGAGAACTTTAAAGATTAAATATCTGAATGCTGATGGTAAATCTAGTCCTGCACTTCTTGTGCATCCCAATTCTTCAGCGAGCCAAGTTAGATCTGGTCAATTCTCATTCCTAGCTTTAGAATTAAGCCATTCTCAATAGTTAGCAGTTGATTTCAATGAAATATTTTAATACTGACGGTAAATCTAGCACTTTCTGTGCCTTCCAGTTCTTCAACCAAACAAGTGAATGCTGCTCAATTCTTATTGCTAGCTTCAGAGTTCAGCCACTCTCAATAGTTATCTGTTGGTTCTAATTAAATATCCAAATACTTATGGTAAATCTAGCCTTGCACTTCCTGTGCATCCCAATTCTTAAGCGGGTCAAGTCAGATCTGACCAATTCTCATCCCTAGCTTCAGAATTCACCCATTCTCAATAGCTATTAGTTGGTTGTGATTAAATAATTTTTAGTACTGATGGTAGATCTAGTCCTCCACTTCCTGTGCATCCCAATTCTTCAACCACACAGGTCAGATCTGCTCAATTCTCATTCCTAGCCGGAGAATTCCGCCATTCTCAATAGGTTATGAGTTGATTCTGATTAAATATCTTAATACTGATAGTAGATCTACTCCTGCATTTCTTGTGTACCCCAATTCTTCAGTCAAACATGTCACATCTGCTTAATTCTCATTGCTAGCTTCAGAATTCAACCATTCTCAATAGCTATTAGTTGGTTGTGATTAAATAATTTTTAGTACTGATGGTAGATCTAGTCCTGCACTTCCTGTGCCTCCCAGTTCTTCAATCAAACAAATTAGAGCTGCGTAATTTTCATTCCTAGCCGTAGAATTCCGCCATTCTCAAAAGCTATTAGTTGATTTTGATTAAATATTTTGATACTGATGGTAGATCTAGTCCTTCAATTTACCTTTTATATTCAGAAATGGGTGTATCTTTTCAATCCGAGTCACTGGATCAAATTCTAGCAGTTATTCGTGATTCACTTTTCTGTACTCAAACATGGTATTCTTTAGTATCTACAGTATCAAATAGTGCCCTTTGTCTCATCAAAGATACATCAAAGACCAGAACAATCTTGTAGCAGACCAATGGGACTTGCCAGTACAATGGGATATTTCTGGGTCTAATAGTCTAAGAAAAGATACAGCAGCTCGTATGTCTATGAACTAAATACAATATCAGTTGGATCTATAATAATATCAGTTACCGTATCATGCCTAGTACTAATCTAAAAGCATGGTACAGTTCACAAAAAACCTCTTATTGCAAGTATTACTCTACCTTAAAGAACTCTTGTCTCAATTTTTGATGCTTTCCTGCTATCAGATTTTTAGTTCTTTAAGCGGAATCACTTTCAATTCATCTACCGTAATCCCATCTCTTTTGAAATCCCAGAAGTATCTTTGATCACCTCTGCAAATAGAAAATTACTCACAAAGATGAGGTTTCAAAACCTCGAGACGCACTTTTTTTGCTTGTTTACTTGAGATTTATTGTGTAAACAAACATCAATTTGAGAATCTTGGGAAATCGAGAGAAATGTACAAAGATCGAATGAGTGTACAAAGAGAAATAAGGGAAAAGGGAGCTCTAAACAAACACAGAAGAGAAAGGTTTTGAAATTTTAAAAGTTATTTAAATGGCGCCAATCTCTTGAACGAGATCAACCAAAGAGCGGTGCCAATAAAAGTGAAGGCGCCGTTGATGATCCAGAGATATTTTTGGCCGGATTTCGTGAAGATTGCTCTGGAAAGGAATTTCAAGGTGAGAAGTGTTGCTGACCCGTTTTGATACAGTATCTTTGTGAACCTTTACAAAATCAGCAGATGGATTGAATATAATCAGAGGCAAGACTACGGTAGTTTTCCAAAATTGGCACGTTTTCGGAAACAAGCGGTAAACCTAGTCCTAGACTCCCTGTGCATCCCAATTCTTAAACCAAACAAGTCGGACCTGCTCAATTCTCATTCGTGGCTTCAGAATTCAGCCATTCTCAATAGCTATTAGTTGTTTCTGATTAAATATCTTAATACTGATAGTAGATCTACTCCTGCATTTCCTGTGTATCCCAATTCTTCAATCAAACAAGTCAGATATGGCCAATTCTCATTCCTGACTTTAGAATTCACCCATTCTCAATAGTTATCAGTTGCTTTTGATTAAATATCTTAATATTGATGGTAAATCTAGTCCTACAATCCCTGTGCATCCCAATTCTTCAACCAAACAAGTTAGATCTGCTTAATTTTCATTTCTAACTTCAGACTTCAGCCATTCTGACCTTGTCTTTTTATCATCAGCTCATCAGAGCTACCCCTGTACCACCATTCGCCCGGAAGTAAAGTCAAACTTTGACTCCAAAACTCTTCACTGTAAACTCACGAGGAACAAATCGATCCAACGATGAGTGTGAGATCCTCGACGAGTACATTTAGGCCTTGCATTGTGTTCTGAAAGTTTTCTAGACTTTTTAATTTTCGAATAATCTGTACTTGATCACAGTTGCCCAAAACTTTTGAGTAAATCGTATCAAGTGAGATCATAAGCAGTGGTAGACCCAATCCCATCACAAGAATCTAGAAGTTCGATCTCAAAACTGGTATCAAACTCGTTAGACTTCAAGCTAAAGCATACCAAGAGTGGAATCCAAATGTACGGTGTGGTCGAGTGGCTTTCGCACCAGCCATATTGTGTCGGATCACAACCGATTCCGGTAGTTTCTAGAAAAGTGGTTATTTAGCAGTATTCTACATAGGTTGGTCCAGAACCAATTTCCCGAGTCAAGCTGGAACTCAGTCTTAACTCTTAACAAGTCTCTAGACCGGGCTTGGATCTGGTTTCCTTTGCCCTGGCTTACAGTCCTGCTCCTACCATTAAATGCAGCAGCTTTGACACTGATCTTTGGCCATGGATAGGTCAAGACATAAAGCAACACAGTGATCGCCATTCCAAATAGGAAAGTGACTCGTGGGTGGATTCTGAAATGAGAAGCCAGGGATTACAATAGTAATAGAAATCTGTAGATCATCAATTACCTTGATCCAGCTTTAACACCAACCTTTGCCCCAAACGGGCGAAGATGAAGAGAGCGGCAATGAGAATGCAGATAACTCCAACGATAGCTTGACCAATCGACATAATGATCACTGATTTGTGACCTAAACAATCTTTTTACTTCTATTCACCCTTCAACAATACCTGTCCACCCATATCCAGCCATGAAAAGTGGGGCAACTACCCTGGAATTCTAGAGCTTTCAAAGTAAAAAGAGTTCCCTTACGTAGAAATGGTGACTTGGGTGATTTTCGAGGCAATAATTTGAAAGAGACACAAAAAGACGAGCGGCCAAACGATTCCGCTCCTTTGCAAGATCGAAAAGAGGCGTTTCAGGATCGGTTCATGAGAGCCTGAGGTAGTCAGTTAAAAAAAATTACGGTTTCTTTAAAAACTACTTACCAATCGTATTCTGTCGCTCTTTTTTCACATCTTTGAAGAAGAATATAAGTAAAATGATGGCGATGACGTTCATTCCGAGAGCAAACCAAATGGGAGCTGTATAGAAATGGAAACGGATCTGGGATTCGTTGATTCGTTATTCACCGTCGTTAAAACTCACCTTTCCTTTAATAATTTCATGTCCAGGGTACTCGAAAGTTTTTGCAGAAAACGCGAGTTGAATCACTGAAGTTCGTTTTTGAATAGAAAAAGAAATTATGATCTTGGAGACTGTAGCCTTAGGGTACTGTAGCCTCGGGATACGGTAGCCTCAAGGTACTGTAGTTTTAGAGTACTGTGGCCTGGGGTAGACTTTGGATGCTGCAATATTCAGCAATTTATTTAAGATATTTAATCAAAATAAAAAAATAGCTATTGAGAATGGGTGAATTCTAAAGTCAGGAATGAGAATTGGCCAGATCTGACTTGTTTGATTGAAGAATTGGGATGCACAGGGCGTGTAGGAATAGATTTACCATCAGCATTCAGATATTTAATAAAAAGCAACTGATAACTACTGAGAATGGGTGAATTCTGAAGTCAGGAATGAGAATTGGCCAGATCTGACTTGTTTGATTGAAGAATTGGGATACACAGGAAGTGCAGGGCTAGATTTACGAGCAGTATTAAGATATTTAATCAGAATCAACTCATAACCTATTAAGAATGTCTGAATTCTGAAGCTAGGAATCAGAACTGAACAGATTTGAATTGGCCCGCTTAAGAATTGGGATGCACAGGAAGTGCAGGGCTAGATTTACGAGCAGTATTAAGATATTTAATCAGAATCAACTGATAACTATTGAGAATGGGTGAATTCTAAAGTCAGGAATGAGAATTGGCCATATCTGACTTGTTTGATTGAAGAATTGGGATGCACAGGAAATGCAGGAGTAGATCTACTATCAGTATTAAGATATTTAATCAGAATCAACCCATAACCTATTGAGAATGGCTGAATTCTGAAGCTAGGAATGAAAACTAAGCAGATCTGACCTGTGTGGTTGAAGAATTGGGATGCACAGTATTGTAAACTTTTGTTTCTAAATAAGCCCTTACTAGGTCCGAGCGTAATCGCCAGCAAGTTCGACGCCGTCGTGACAGCGTAGGCTCGGGAACGATCGCTCTCGCTTGACACTTCGGCCACATATGTTCTAACGACAGCCATTGATCCTAGAAAGAAATTATAGAAAAAGTTTCCGATTTTCACCCACCAAGGCCACATCCAAAAAGAAAATAGCAAACAAGCATGAGGATTCGTCGATTTTCGTTTAAAATCTCAACACCTAGATACAAAATGCAACCAAGGAGAGAGATTAGGCGACCAGCAAGGAGAGGCCATCTGAAAAAGGTCGATGATCCAGCTACAGTACTCTAAATGGATCTAGAGTCATCTAAAGTTAGCCTATAAACCAGATGATCAAAGCTGAGAGATTAAAATCGTTTACGGGTTACGGTAATTGGGCTAGGCTTTAAATTTTGGCATTTCCCAACCTAGTCGTTCTCCATCGATAGCTCCAAAAGGCGAACAACATGGCAAAAATCGCATGACCAGCATGGCTCATCGCTGAAGCGACACCGAAGAAAGATGTGGTAGCTTTTGGATCAATCTAGGCAGCAAATGAAAATTACCAAATGAAACTTATCCAAGCTCTATTCCTAGATCGATATTTTTCTAATAATCTATTCTTTACCGTATGCATATACGGCCATTCGCTAACACCGATCATGTTGTCCTCGACAGCCGACAGAAACCAGATTGCTCCGGCTACCGTAATCTTTGGCCATTGGGTTTGAATCTGAAAAAGAAAGATGTCCAGAAGATCATTGTAACAGTTTGATTGGAAAATTTATTGAAAACAAACCTTTTCCATGACTAGCTTCAATGTCAGTCTTTAAAAGTTCAACTGAACAATCGGTTAGTGGAGATTTTAACTGATTGAGTCACTGATTTTCAGCCAAAATCTCCCGTAAAAGAGTTGAACGGTTGAAACGAACCCGAAGGACTTCCTTTTAGCCCCCAGTACTCTTGGAACCACTCCTTTGGGCTCTTTCACTCTTTTCCCCAAAAATAAGCGACGCGTGCGTGTCCAGGTCCATCAAAGAAAGAAAAGAAAAAGAGATTCACTTTCTTTTTTTTTGATTTTTGCGCAAACGTTGACTCATTTCTTTTTCTTCTTTTTGAGAGAAACGGTATTATCACAAACATTTGTTTTCGTGGAGTTGCGAAATGAGAAAAAGAATTATTTGACAACAAATCCAATTCTTAAGTGCAAACAAAGAAATTTTGCATTTTAAATAACGCTGAAACTATTATTCCTTTTCTATTGGAAAGAGCGTGTCTTAAAACCTAGAAAACACTAAAAATAACTGTTGTTTGCTGTTGTTTAAAACCGTTCCTTTTGTTATGCATAATTTTTGTTAATTTCCAGGTAAATGGCACAGAAAAAGCTGCTCACGGATTATGAGAAAGGCCAGATTATGCACGTTTGAAGATTGCCGAAGAAGCAAACTCAATAAGGAAAATCGCAAAAGATTTGGGCCGATCTGACTATACCTTGCGAAATTATATCAAGTCAAAGATCATTTCTGCATCAAAGAGGAAGTCAGGGTCAAAACGAAAGCTTACACCACGAGTTAGACGCCATATTGTGAACAATATCTACGGAAAAATTATCAAAGTGAAAACGGAATGGATGGTTTTCTTTTCCGATAAGAAGAAATGGAATTGCAATGGCCCTGATGGCGTTGACTACTATTGGAGGGATCTTCGACGTGGTCCAATGGTGTTCGAAACTTCGGCGGTGGTTCTGTGATGGTTTGGGCCACATTGTGCTAGTAGAACGGTCGCTCTGAAGATCGTTTCGAATTGGATGAATTGTTTTGACTATTGTAAGAAATATATGGTGATGCTTTGATCTATATAATTTCTTGTGAGACCGTGTCTCGGTGTGGTTCAATGGTGGTCCTCTTGAAAACGTAATAATTTATCCAACTTTCCCTTATTAGGGCAACTTCGCTCAAACTAGAGCAACTTGGCACTATCACAATTAAATCAACACTTGAATGTGAAAGAAGAATGATAAAGCACAAAAAAGAAGAACCACAAACTCACTCAAAAGCAAAGCTTAAATAATGGGTTTTTTAAGCATACAAGCTACAACAACCGGACAGCTGAATATCATTTAGTGACTGATTACGGTAGTTTATCCACCAACTTTGAACTTTAACTTGTATTGAATTTTTGACTAACTGCAGAGCAGTGGCAATTCGCCACAACTATATAGATTTCTTGGGCGATCGCTTGCTGCCGTCTTTGCTTCTGCCGTTCTCTATGTGTTTCGACATGACAATGCGTCAATTTATCGAGCTGGAGACACCCAAGACTGGTTGAACAACAACAACAACAACTTTGAACTGGCCCGCTCGATCTGCTGCCCTCAATCTAATAGAGAATTTATGGGGAATACTTGTCTAAAGCTGTCTGCAAGAATCATCGTCAGTTTCAAGACGTTTTTGCACTTAAAGCAGCGATCTCGACGTCTCTGCCCTTCAAAACCTCGTCACTTTAATGCCAAACCGCATTTTTCAAGTAATTAATCGTTCTGGTGCGTTTTGATTTTGATTTTTTATTATTAATTTGCATTTTTACAGTCGACTCTCTCTATAACGAAACTCTATATAGCGAAAAACTATATAACGAAATGGAATTTTAGCCCCAGCCGACGCTAAGCTATAGAAAACGACACTCTAAACGGAAAGCTCTATATAACCGACACATTTTTTGGTCACTTCTATTTGAGAGAGTCGACTGTATTTCCTTTTGAATGATTATACCCAGATTCTTTTTCAGAATGCTGGTTTGTTAGAGAGATGACTACAAAGACCAAAAAAAGACAGCTTTTCCTCAATTCAAATCTATTCAGAAAAAAAGCAATTATCCAGATTTCCTAAAAAAGCAAGAAAAACTCTTTTTATTGTTATTGTTTTTGGAAAATTCAAAAGGTTTATTCAAATGTCTAGAAATAGATAAAAAGCTTGGGTAATTTATCTTTCCAACAATATCTTTCTATCTTTCTTTCAAGGATTTTCTCATTGTTCTATAGCCTTTGTACTTCGGGCATTTATTTCTAAGAAAAAAGAAAGCTTGTTTCTATTTAAATTTTCAGTCTCCAGGGATTGCTAAAGCTTTCAAATTTAATTGTAATTTAATTGTGATTGGAGTTTCTTTGGGTGAACTTTTATTCTTTCTGTACTCTTATTCTTTCTGTACTATTATTCTTTCTGTACTATTATTCTTTCTGTACTCTTATTCTTCCTGTACTTTTATTCTTTCTGTACTTTTATTCTTCCTGTACTCTTATTCTTTCTGTACTTTTATTCTTTCTGTACTTTTATTCTTCCTGTACTTTTATTCTTCCTGTACTTTTATTCTTTTTGTACTTTTATTCTTTCTGTACTCTTATTCTTCCTGTACTTTTATTCTCTTTGTAGCTTGGTGCAACGAACAAATTTAAAAATGATACAAATAGGTTACTTGACTTTAAATAATTCTGGATTTTTAGTTTGAACTATAGCTTTTTCTGAACGTCGTGTCTTTTAGAAAAGATTTTGATTAAAAAGAAAAAAACTCTCATGAATTACTCACTCTCACATTAATTACTTAATTACTCATTTTCTTAAATTTCCGTCACTCTTGGAGGAAAACAATGAGATTTTTAAGCACAATCGTTTTTCAAAACCAACATTTTATTAGTTTTATTGAGCTGAGATCTGAAAATTATTTCAATTGTTTTTTCAATTGTTTACAGAATATATAGAAATTGTTTCAATATATTGGACCAATTTCTATTTCAATTTCAATTGGATCAAACAGTTTAACCTATTGCAATAGGTTAAACTGTCCAAATTCGTAAACAAATTCCGAAAATGAACCTCCGCTAAAAGGATTGCTTTTGTTTTAGCTTAAAAAAATTATCTAAAAAATTTCTGAACTTCTAAAACTTTTCTAAAACTAAAACTGAACTTTTCGATTGATATGGAGCTCATTTTCTCAAAGAAAGCGATAGATTTCCTAGATTTCCTTTATCCTAATGAAATCCGTCAAATTTTGAATCATTAGATCAATGACATTCATTTAGTTTGATCTTTAAATCTTTCTCCTTCTAAATCTTGTCATATTTCAATGGGAAAGCCTTCAGATCCTTTGTTACTTGATGTCCTTTGTTAATGTCCCAATTCTCTATCAAACAAGGAACCAAAGAACAAGGGCTGATCTAGATAACAAGGGCTGATCTTATTTCTCCTCCACTAAACTTCAACAACCACATTGAAGCTATTTTTGTAAAAAGGTTTTTATAAATGCTAATCATATCCTACGATTTATCACCATTCCTACAAAAATTCCGTCTGCCAAATCCTACAAAAAGCTTTATTACTTGTGTAGGCTCTATTTTAGAATATGCTTCAATTGTGTGCAATTGTGCTGCAAATCATCTTATCTTAGCTGGTTTTAAAATTGATTTTGATAAGTACTCATCTCTTAACTATGCTTCCAGACTTGAAAAATTCAGTTAAGTTGATAAGGCGGCGCTGATGAAGGGAATCTCAAGATCTCAAAGATCTCAAAGATCTCAAGATAATCAATTCATGATCCTCTTTCTGTAACTTATGTTAAATTGAACACACATGCCGACTCTCTCATTGTACGTCGTGCCTCTGTTCTCAAAAAAAGCGGCAAGCAATATTTTCTTAACCTTTGAATCTTTATTAACCGTCTCTAACCTCTAGAATGTCTAATATTTATAAAATTTCATCTGTAAAGATGAAATTTTTCATTTCATCTTTCATCTGTATTACTGTAAAGAGCTGTTGCGTCTATTGATTTGACTACATGACGTTCGCAGTTTACGTTTCTTCCTTTCTGCGTTTTCCTTTCAAGTTTCTTCCTTCTGCGTTTCCTTCTTCTTCCTTTCTTGCACTTTCTTCGTTTAGTCGTTCTTAGTTTTAATGTCTCTGTTTGGAATTTTCTTTCTTTTCAGCTTTCTTCCAGGCTATTCATGTATTGAATAAATCATTAATCATTCGAATGAAGAAAAGTGAATTTTCATTTCTCAGGGATTTTCATTTCATTTCATTTCATTTCCCACCTCCTTCCCCATCATTGCTTTTGACATCCACAACTAATTACACTTAAGAAAAAACGATAAAAAGAATTTTTTTTTTCATTTTGATCTCAATCGAATTCATTAGATTTTTGAAAAGCTGATTTCAGTTAATTTTTAGCTGAAAATTGAACTTTTCATAAGCAAACCCTCATTTATTTCACCTGTTAATACAAAATTTTTGATGAGATTTTAGTTTTCAGAAATTTTTCTTTTTGATTTGTTCATTTTGATGGAAGAACTGTTTACGTATGGATCATTGGAGTCAAATCCAAGATGGAGTTGTCGGTCAGTTTAGTTTAATCATTTCTATAGGCTTAGATTTAAGCTAAACCTAGCTTTGTATAGAAAAATTAAGTTTCTTCCTTCTTCTTCCTTTCTTCCTTCCTTCCTTCCATCCAAGCTTCTTCCTTCTACGTTTCCTTCTTCCTTTCTTCCTTCCTTCCATCCAAGTTTCTTCCTTCTACGTTTACTTCTTCCTTTCTTCCTTCCTTCCATCCAAGTTTCTTCCTTCTGCCTTTCCTTCTTCCTTTCTTCCTTCCATCCAAGTTTCTTCCTTCTACGTTTCCTTCTTCCTTTCTTCCTTCCTTCCATCCAAGCTTCTTCCTTCTACGTTTCCTTCTTCCTTCCTTCCTTCCTTTCAAGTTTTCATCTAAATCTATTCATCTAAAGAGTTTTATAAATGAAAAATGATAAAATCAATAGAATTACGATAGCTTCAATCAAATTTCTTTAGCGATATAAACCTTTCCCTGACTGATCTTCAATCGACTCACAACAAGCGTCCAATCCTTGGCTATATCTACATTTTGACGGGAGTAACCTTTCAAGTACTGTACTTTATAAATTATAGTAAGCTTCTATCGAGTTACAATATCTATAATGCTGTTTAATAAGGTTTTCAATTAACTTTTTCAGCTTTGTTACATTTTGGCATTCTCAGTGATCTGCTCACGGGAATTCTTGCAGCTTTCTTGTTATAAATTGATGATGTGTTTAGGTTTAAATTTAAAATGATTTCTTATCTAAAATCTCTCAAATTCTAGGTTTTCTTGATTTCATTTGCACAATCTTCAGCTCTGAAATCTCTGGATTTTTCTATATTGTTGGTGCTGAGTATTGTATGTATCCACATTTACAATATATTAGTGGATGTGTGATCGTTGGTGAGTGAAGCTCATTGTAAAGAGGAAGAGTTTATGGTGATGGGGGATTTCTTTAGACATCTAAAATCGATCAATCGAGGGGATCTAAGCGAAAAAGAGCTTTTAGGTTGCTTTGCTTCAATCTGCTTATTGTCGCTCTTTTTGGTGGTGAATCGTTTAATCGATTTTTGGAAAGCACGACTCGCGATTTGGATTTTTCGAGTAAAAATTTGAGAAAATGAAAGAATTACCGTATTTTCTCTAATAGTAGTGGACATCTAAGACATCTAAGATCGATCAGTCGAGTCGATCTAAGCAAGTGAGCCTTGCCTAAATTCCTCGAAAGCTCGAGAACCGCATATCAGAACCTATCGATGTGAGGGTGGAAAATGTAGCTGACGATGAGATCTAGTGGGGGTTTAGAGTGTTGAGCTTCTGCAAAAGCTTGAAAACCTGAAAACCGTCAAATAGTCACCAATTCGGCTCGCCGGGGTGCACTACTATTAGAGAAAATACGGTATTTGAAATCGAAGGGGAAACAAACAAAAAGTTTAGGGAAACAAAACCTGGTTCTACATCGGCGTATCGCTTTTCTACGGTTTGATCTCGTTTTGGAAAGCGCCATCTGTTGTGTTCAATGTCGACTACGGAACTTGGTTGTATCATCCGTTCATTCCCGGGAAAATCGATCTAGAGGTTGCGAAAATTGAAGTTGAAATCTATTTTTTTAAAAATCGACTATAGTAGCCGTTTTAGAAAGCTTTTCATGCAGTTTGCATTAAAATTTGCTTACAAATCTACAATCTGCAATGAATGCAATGATCTTGCAAGCTGTTTAAAGCTGTTCAAAAGCTTTTGAAAGCTGTTGAAAGCTGTTGAAAGCTGTTGAAAGCTGTTGAAAGCTGTTTAAAGCTGTTCAAAAGCTGTTGAAAGCTGTTCAAAAGCTGTTGAAAGCTGTTCAAAAGCTGTTGAAAGCTGTTTAAAGCTGTTGAAAGCTGTTTAAAGCTGTTCAAAAGCTGTTGAAAGCTGTTGAAAGCTGTTCAAAAGCTGTTCAAAGCTGTTCAAAAGCTGTTCTAAAGCCGTCAACTTTTCAGTACACTTCTTTATTCCAAACTGTCAATAATATTGTGACTTCAAGCGGGATGTGTTCAGCATATTTGGTTATTTGTTTGCTACACGCGTACAAGTTACGAGAGACAAAAACGATTCGACGATCAGCACTGCAAAAGCAGGTGAATCTGAGCTAATTAATCTTAAAAAAGTTCATTTAACCGCTCAAAGATCTAATCGTTTTTCTAAAACTTGTCAAATTTTGTAAATTACCGTAATCTTGTTTCAATTTTGATTCAAGAATCATATAAAATAGAGAGAATTATATAAAATCGATGATTGAATAAAGTAGAGCAAGATTACGGTAGACTACGGTAGATTACAGTAGATTACGGTAGATTACGGTAGACTACGGTAGATTACAGTAGATTACGGTAGATTACAGTAGATTACAGTAGATTACAGTAGTCGAAACGTTAAAAAACGGATTCATTAACCCATTTTAACCCATTTCTACTTCAGATTCTCATGCAAGCCATTTGTGTTTGCTTCTTTACTTTCACTACAACAACTTTATGGGCGTCAATGATTTTTTATAACCCCAGCAAGCTCATTTTGCATTTAGGGCAATTGAGCTGGCATTTAATGCATGGTAAGTGAGTGAAAGGAATTGTAAATCTTTCATTTAAAATGATTCTTCTCGAAAAATCCTAAATCTAAAGTCAATTAGAGTTTCTAATCGATTTTCTAATCGAAGTTTCTAATCGACAACGAATTTCAAGAAAATCTCGACATTTCCATGTCTTGGACAATGATAAAATGTGGATTTAATAGTAAAAGAACTCAAAAATGACATCTGAACAGTTTTTTTGGCTATTAAATGTAGTAATTAGTAGTTAGTTAGTAGTTAGTTAGTAGTTAGTTAGTAGTTAGTTAGTAGTTAGTTAAAAACTAGTTCAAAACTCAATTCCAGGTGTCCCCTCACTTGTCTACCTCTTGTTGAACAAAACAATACAACGAAAAGCCCTCAGAAACCTCTCAAATGTTGTCTATCGTCAACGAGACGTGAATCCGATCACTTCCAATAACATCATTAAAAGCCAAGAGGAGTCAAGGAGTCAAACGGTTTATCGAATTTCGGCAAATCCATCGGGCTATCGGAGTCGAGCAATTGTTGATTGTCCATCTGTGATTTGTCCTCAATCTATCTAGCTTTTCTTTTGTGATTAAATAAATCTTAAAGCTGTTTTTTTAAAGCTAAACCTGTTATTTTAAACTTTCAAGAAAAACTTTCAAACCAAATGTCGTCATTCGTGAAATCTACGTGAGACAATCAAGTCCCAGAAAGAGAAACAATGAGAACAAAAGAGGACGAATATTTGCGCGTGAAGAAAAATATGTAAAAGTTGATATTTTTAAACAAAAGCCGTCTTTGGTAGACAATGGACATAATCCTGAAGGAAACTCTAGTACAGCGATGTCTAAAGGCTACGAGATCACATGAGAAAAGCTATGAAAATATGAAAAAACACTTCCGGAGATCAAAATCGAACAATTGGGGTTTGGGGTTTGTATGGGAAGCGGATTTTCGCGTTTTTTGTTGCCAAAAGTTTAACAATGAGACTGGATCGTATGTAAAGTTTTGGAGAAAATCATTTTGGAATCTTTTCATATCTTCAAATCTTCGACTCTTCGAAGCTTTGTTTTCGACTTTCCAAGAATTCTCTTGATTCAGCAATTCTGGCTTATTTATTAAGACTTTAGTTGTAAAAGGAGATTTCTTTGAACTAAGCCAAAACCAGATCATGTTTCATTTGCAATTATGACAATTGATCTCTTTATTTTAATTTATAGATGCAAACCTACTTCGAGTATGCTTCTCTTGAGGAGAATCCGAGATATTCATGCGTGTAAGTTCACTTAAAATCAAAGACAGTCTCGTACCGTACTTGTAAGCCTGTACTTGTACCGTACTTGTAAGCCTGTACTTGTAAGCCTGTACTTGTACCGTACTTGTAAGCCTGTACTTGTACCGTACATGTAAGCCTGTACTTGTACCGTACTTGTAAGCCTGTACTTGTAAACCTGTACTTGTAAGCCTGTACTTGTAAGCCTGTACTTGACCAGTACTTGTACTTGTCCAGTGCTTGTACTTGTACCATACTTATACTTGTACCGTACTTCTAAGTACTTGCAAGCTAAGCAATGTACTGTATACCTTTTTCTTGCCATACTGGTATGTTTGATTTCTTTTATAACTTGAATATCAAATTTTTCAGCAATAACACGATGAGCTATGAAGAAATGGCGGCTCGTCATGAGAAACATCCAATTATTGGCGGGATTTTCATCGTTGCCGGGATTTTCTTCGAGGTAAGTATCATTTTGACTACTTGATTACACTTTTGATCTTTATAAAGACAGTAATTCTTTAGATCTGTTACATCCTATCATTGTCAGTGATTTGGAGTAAAGAGTTCGTGCAAATGTCATGCTTCAAATTAATGTTTTGTTTAGGTAAATGAGAATTTTAACGAAACTTTAACCAATTTTAATCAATTTTTACCAATTTTAATCAATTTTAACCAATTTTAATCAATTTTAATCAATTTTAATCAATTTTAACCAATTTTAATCAATTTTAACCAATTTTAATCAATTTTAACCAATTTTAACCAATTTTAATCAATTTTAATCAATTTTAACCAATTTTAATCAATTTTAACCAATTTTAACCAATTTTAATCAATTTAAGCCAATTTTAATCAATTTTACAATAAAACAAAAGAAATAAGAGTGATTTCAGGTGTCGTCGATTGTTTATGCATTGTGCTAAGCAATTTCCTTTCCGGTTTCTTCTACATTGTCGGCTTTGAGTATTGTATGGCGCCACATATGAGCTTCATCATGGGCGCTTTAGTGAATGGTAATTGATGGCGTGATTTCATCAGGCCATCAATTATCTCATTTCTCAGGGTTTTTCAACACTTGTTGTATGCTTTGTCTTTTCCTTGTTTTCAATCGTCTAGTGGATGTGTGGAAGCCGCAATTTGGCGAGATGCTCTTCAAGGTACAAAGAGAGATGATCATTTAATCAATTTTGAACTTAAAGACCTAATTAAGTTGTTAATTAACTAATTAACTAATTAAACCTTAATTTTTAGTGAATTTTTTGTAATCTCAGGGTGGTCGGACTTGGATTTTCGTCTTTTTGGCTGTTGCTTATGGGATTTTCTTCGCGATAATCCCTCCACCATGTCTCTTTAACGCTGATTATGGGACTGTTATCTATCATCCATTGATTCCAGGAAAAGAAAATTTAGAGGTAGATTTAACTAGATATACTGGTAAGGTATATTTAACCATACTGGTAAGGCAAGAATCAATTCTAAGCCAAAGTCATTGACTCTAAAGAGCTTTGGCTTTGCCTTGCCTTGCCTTTGCCTAAATTGAGCTTTGCCTGATAAATTCAACTCTATTGAGTTGAAATCTTGGAAATCTTGGCTTTAGTTAGCTTGGCTTTAGTTAGCTTGGCTTTAGCTAGCTTGGCTTTAGCTAGCTTGGCTTTAGCTAGCTTGGCTTTCCCTGAGAAATTGAGCAAAAAAGATTGGCTTCATCTAGAAATTTGGCTCTTTTAGTCATTAAAGTATTAAAAAATCGGTGTAATTGACTTGGGAATAGCGTTAACATTTCAACAAAACGTGTACTCCTTGAAATTCTTTAAGGTAAGTGGAAAAGATTCTTTTTCTAGTGTCTCTGTCTCTGTCTCTTGTCTCTTTTCACAAGAATACTCAAGTAACTCTTGTTGATGTAAATGAAAGCAATTATTCAATTTTATACCTTCAGTACACATCAATCTACCAAACTGTCGCAAATTTGATCACCGGAACGTCGATTTGTCTCTGCTATGTGCTTATCTATGTGATTCACTCGATTCGAATGCGCGGTGTTGACGCGAAATCTCAATCTCGGGTGCAGAGAAAGGTGAGGATGGTCAGCAGTTACTCGTTTGAGTTACTCGTCTGTTTGTCAGCAGTTACTCGCTTGAGTTACTCGTCTGTTTGTTTGAGTTACTCGTCAAGTATTAGATTCTTTGATTTTCCATTAATCAAGGATATTTATCAGCTTTGTATCCTGAAAGATTAAACAATTTTACGATCAAAAATTTGATTATAACTTTGGTTCGATTCATCTGACTTTAGAATTACTTTTCTACACTTATTTTCCAGCCATTTTTATAGCTTTTTATAGCTTACAGTATACAGGAATACAGGGCAATAGCAGAGAATAACTTATTTCAATAATTTAATTCAATAACCCAATCCAATTTCAGATCCTGATCCAAGCGGTTTGCGTGTGCTTCTTCACTTTCACGACAGCTACAATCTGGGGTTCGCTCATCTTTATCCCGCCATATCCATTCATGATGCATTTGGGACAATTGAGCTGGGAGCTCATGCATGGTGTGTTAAAGAAATCAATTGACTTTTCGTTACAGTCAATTGACTTTTGGTTATAGTTATCAACCGTATGGTTATAGTTTAATTGTATCAATTTCCAGGAATGCCAGCAATCGTCTATCTCTTCTTGAACAAAACGATTCAACGTCAGGCTTTCAGAAAGGTAAGCGATTGCTTGAAAATGTTCAACTTGATTTAAGAATATAAAAACAAAGATCAGACTTGGATTTGGCAATACTCTGACAGTTCTAGGTTGCCCATTTTGTGCGTTACACTCGCCCAAACCCAGCTACATTCGTCGACGGTGCGTCTCGCATCCACCCCACGCAATCCCAATACGAGAAGACTTCAAAAAGTGATGGGGATAGTAAAATGTTAAAATACTAATCTAAAAGCTTTAATTTTATAGATTTTTGAGATAATGATCATTATGTGATTGCTTTCTTTTTTATTTTCAATACTGAAGAGTTTTGTTTTATTAAATTCAGAGTTTAACAATAAATATCTAACAGGATTCCTAAAGTTTAACAATAAAAAAAAACAGTAAAAGTAAGTATTGCTCTAAAAGGTATTGTAAAAGCTCATTTACACTAGAATGAGCAGTAAACAGTAAACAGTAAACAGTAAACAGTAAACAGTAAACAGTAAACGGTAAACAGTAAACAGTAAACAGTAAACAAGACAGAATCAAACAACAAATCTTTATTGAGAATTGAAAATGAATAAATGAATAGACTGGGATCAGAGAAAGAGTCACTCTTTGAATGATTGTTTCTTAACGATTGTGAAAAGTTTATTTCAAATGTGATCGGCGAGAGAATAAAGCAAAAATGAGCAAAATTGAGCAAAAATTGGGCAAAAATGAGCAAAAATGAGCAAAAATGAGCAAAAAGAAGCAAAATTGAGCAAAAATGAGCCAAAATGAGCAACGATGATGTTAAAACCATTGATGGGGTTTGTAAAAATCGAAATTTTATCACAAAACAAACGATTTCCATGAACTCTTTCTTGATAGTTTTTGTACTTTTCAAAGATTTGTGTCTGATTGATTGAATTCCTTGAAAGAACCTTGAATGAGTGGTTTTCTTTGGTGAAATTGGTGATTCTCCGCATAAAATCTTGAGTCTCAACGTTGAAATCAACCTTAAAAAGTTCATTTTTCAAGGAATTTTTGAGAACAACTTCTAGAAATTGAGTTTTTTGTTGATTTCTTCATCGTTTTCGTAATCGTTTGTCAACTTTTCAGTCATTTCAGTTCTTTTGTACTTTTAGCTTTTGTCTTTTGTACTTTTAGTAGTGTGCTTTTGTACTTTTGTACTTTTGTACTTTTGTACTAGTTAGCAATGAGAATTAAGCAGATGTGACTTGTTTGATTGAAGAATTGGGATGCACAGGGAGTGTAGGAATATATTTACCATCAGCATTCAGATATTTAATCAGAATCAACTCATAACCTATTGAGAATGGCTGAATTCTAAAGTCAGGAAAGAGAATTGGCCATATCTGACCTGTGCGGTTGAAGAATTGGGATGCACAGGGAGTGTAGGAATAGATTTACCATCAGCATTCAGATATTTAATCAGGATCAACTGATAGCTATTGAGAATGGCTGAATTCTAAAGTCAGGAAAGAGAATTGGCCATATCTGACCTGTGCGGTTGAAGAATTGGGATGCAAATGAAGTGCAGGACTAGAAAAAGTTGAACTGAAATGACTGAAAAGACCATGTAATCTTTTGTTTCTGACGAGAAATCATTAAAAAAAGCTGTTTCAAACGTTTCACTGATTTCAAACTTCATCAAATCAATTAAATCTTTAAATTGGTGAAATATTTCAATTGGATTCGGTTGAATGCGAAGATTTCCAACAAATTTCAGCCTAACCGATAGAGTTTGTGCATTTTTATGAATCTCTCAAATTGTTGTCAATCGTCAAACTGTGGCACGTTTCGAGACAAGTGAATAGCTTGTAGATAGCTTAATGTTTTTGGTTTTGATTTTAGTTGCCTAGAATCACAATTAGAAAAGACTGTATCTTTGAGTCAAAACCCTTGATCACAAAAGAATGAGTGCAAAAATCGTCGATTTGTCTGGTTTATTCCGATAACGAGCAAGACGCACCCCTACTTAATACACCGCGAATAATTTCGTTCGTGTTCTTAGAGGGATTGGCGGCATCAAGCCTAAGCCTAAGCCTAAGCCTAAGCCTAAGCCTAAGCCTAAGCCTAAGCCTAAGCCTAAGCTTAAGCCTAAGCCTGAGCCTAACAGGTCTGTGATGCATTAGATGTTCGGGGCTGCACGCGTGCTACACTGGAGTCTGCAACGAAAGTGAACGACGATGAAAAGTGTGAACCCAACACCAGGTGAAGTTTTGGAAAACTGAAAAACAAATTTGAATTTGACTCCAGTCAAAGAACTGCTTAGTTTGATAAGAGATGAATGATAAATCTGTTCAACAATTGACTTCATAGTGTAAAATATTAGATTTGAGCAAAAGTACTCATGGAAACCTCTCGTTTAGAGCTGTCAAGGACAGAAATAGTATATCTCAACACCGCCAATCCTCCAATATACCATTTCTTTCAAATAAATCGATTTTGATGTCAATAGAAATAAGAAAGATCACAAAAAGTTAGGTTGATAGCCAAATTTTCACAATAATCTACTCCGCTAGTTTCATGCTATGCCATTTTTATGAAAACAAACGAGAATTACGTTGACTCCTTACGTTTACTTCAAATTGAACTGAAATTTTTGCAAAAAAATCCTTCCGATTCAGTTTATAATTAAAGAGATATAGAGAGTTTTGTTGATTTCTCAAGAAGAATTTAAAAACAAAGCAAGATAGAGGTTTCATCTTTGGATAGCTCTTAACTGGAGCTTTGATCTAGCTCCAGTTAAGAGCTTTGATCTAGCTAGCAAGAAGATCTAAAAACAAAAGCTTTCGTTGTAGCACTCGTTCTTCTTTATAAAGCTTTTTAACAACAACAAAAACTTTTTAAAGGCTTTTTTCTGTGCATTTCTTTGAGAAACCCTTAGAAAGAATGGGAATTTTGTCTAGATTTTTAAAGTTTTTTTATTGTTTTTATAAATTTATCAATTAAAAATGAGAAAAATGAGCATAAAGACTTGAGCAAGATCTAGCAAACAAGAAATAGAGATATAAATAGATATAAATAGAGATAAATCTCAGATATAAATAGACAAAAATAGAGATAAATCTCATAATTATCCATCAATGATCGAGTTTAATTTTGGCGCTGATCGAACGGTTGGAATGTGAACTGAAGTGAGTGTGCCCCTTCTACCATAATTGAGTAAACGAGCTGTTGCTCCTTGAGGGCTATTTCGGCTAAAATCTTTTATAAACTTTTAGCTGAGTAAGATAGTTTTAATGAAAATGAGTTTTGAATCGTTTTTTCTTTTAGATATAAATAGAGATATTGCCTTTTAGATATAAATAGAGCTTTGAATCACCTTTTCTTTTAAATCCTTTCTATATTCTCTATTCTTTATTATTTAGATTGATTTTAAACTTTAAATCCTGTCTACTTTTAATTAAAAAAGTTAAAATTTAGACTTTTAGACAAATCCATACATTTTTTACTATAATATACTAGATTCAAAAAGATTTCTGTAAATCTAAAATAAAGAAATGACTCTTTGATCTCTAGGATCTATGTAATTACTAAAGAAATCGAATAAAGAATTAAAGAAAATCCCCTCACGTGACAATCTCTTCTGTAGCCTCCATTGGCCATAGTGATAGCCTTGAAGATGGCCTTGACACTGGCCTTGATCCTCCCGTTTTGAAATCCATTGACAACAATTTCGTGGAGGCTTGCAGTTGTGCTTTGCTAAATCTTTAAATTCAACAAATTAGATTTTCAAATTTTACACAGCATTTACAAAAAGGGACAGAAAAGGGGTAAAGAAATGATTACAATTGATTCCACGGATCAAATGATTTGGATAGTTGTTGAAATCTGAAAGGGAAATTTGTTCGGAACATTTGAAAGGATCAAAGTCGTCTATTTTGTTGAGTTTTAAGCTTTAATCGATCATTAAAAGATCCTAAATGATCTGTTTTTCTAGTTTATAGAAAGTTTTAGTAAATAAATGAATATTTTTATTTATTGATTGGCATTGAAAAAGTCAAATTTTGCTTTAAAAAGTAGGATTTTTAGAAATCTAGTACTCTAGAAATGTTTAAGATTCAATTTTTGATAGTAAATCATTTCTCATTCCTTTACTGTCCCTTTTAACTCACATAGCACTATTGTTTGCGAGTTCTTTTGTTCGGAAGAGCAATCGTTGACGAAAGTTGGACGATGAGAGACAGAAGAGGATGAAATTCAACGCTTTCCCCACAACAACCATCGTTGCAACGATAATTATCTGAAATTTAAGATTTAGACGAATTCAATAGCTAGTCTAGTCTTTGTTTTTTACTTTTGTCTAGAACATTTTACTGATTCCTTTACAAACCCCTGTAATATAGTCAGAGCCGGTGATGGTCGCGATTACAGGAACCACCGCTGATGGAGCCTGGAATTGGGAAATTCATTTTCATAGCTACGGCAAGTTAAATTCTTCAACTTTCTAGTTATGCTTATCATTTTTTGACTTACTTGTGTTATTGTGAAGCAAGTGACAATAGCACAAACAGTTAGTGTCACTCTTTGCTCTTTTTTGATTTGTATTGACGTCATTGCCTCCGAACCAGCGCCGATACGCAAGAAACGAGTTCTAGAATAGCAAAATTGATTATCAATTTGCTGATTTCAATAAAAATACAGTACAAAGGAGTACTATTGACCTTTTGCGTAGTGTTAAGAGTAGTAGAGCGTTTGAGAAGATTACGAGGAGGACTGGCAAAAAAACGATGACCAGAGCCTAAAAGGATTGTTTTTTTGAATATTTTTATATAACTATATGTCAATTAGATATTAATTATTGCTTTTTTTGTCAAAACCCACTTGGATCTCGAGACTGTACCGGGCAAAAAGTCGTAACGCCATCGAATTTGGATTCGGCCGCTGACCGAACCAACTGAAAATGGGGAAATACTATGGAATTAGGAATAATAAATAAAATGTTAAGATTATAATAAATTCTAGATAGATTCTAGTTAGATTCGAGATAATTTAAAGGCTAACAGTGGCGAATCGACGTTCAGACAGATCCCTTGGAATTGGCTACCATTGCAGAAGAGACGAGATTTGCAAATGAATCTGAAAACTATCGTAATCTTCTCTATTTTTATTCGCTTTTTGTCTGTTTCTGTGAGGATTTACGAGAAAAAGAAACAAAAAGAAGATTGATTGAATAAAAGAAAAGAGACAAGAAAACGGTGGTCAAGAAAGGCGACAGGTTTTAGAGAGACTACAATAGAAGAGACGACAATAGAAACTACAGAGACTAGAGACTAGAGAGACTACAATAGAAACTACAGACTACAGTAGAGACTGTGAAAAGTTAAGTACAGTAATCTTAAGCATTAAATTGGAATACTTTGAGCTACAATAGAACAGACTACAGACAGATTTTAAGTGTTAAAGAGCAGACTGCAGACTGCAGAGTATAAAGATGCGACAGCCTAGAGTAAGGTCTACTCTGACAGCGACCAACAGCTGCCAGTATAGCTCATTCGTAGAGCGTTCGCCTGGAAACTGAGAGCTCCGAGGTTCGACCAGCTCGCTTTTGTGAAGTTTTTTTTGAAGAAAAATGCTTTTTAATCAATTTCTTAATTGATTAAAATCAATTTTAATCAATATCTCTATTACTTTTTAATCAATTTCTCTATTACTTACGTGAAATGATAGTGTGAAGTGAGCAATCCAGTGAAGACCACAGTGAATGAAACAAGAAATTTCGGTGCCATAATCGACGCGTGAGTCCGGGTGGAGAGTGGGTTACGGATGCCGAGAAGGCGCTCAGCACAAATGATTAGGATCATCCTGAAAAAATAGTCTTGGAAATGAAAAAATAGCCTTGGGAATAGATTTTCTTCAATTTTTAAGTGTTTGGGAAGATGCTAGAGTCAAAAAATAGCATCAAACAGGGTTATCAGACCAGCTCCTTTTCCCATTAGCAATCTAACTTTGAGCTCAAATTTCTTGGTGTTTAGTTGTTCAATTCAAAACTTTTTAATATCATTTGATGCGCCAAGTCTTTCTCTATCGATTGATATCAAAACTATTTCAATTGAACAGTCTAATACCAAGAAATTAAAGCTCAAAGTTAGCTAATGGGAAAGAGGCAAAGAGGAAATTTTCCTTGCTCTTTAGCAATGTCAATTGGGCAATAGATAGCTTAGGCAATAGATTTTTGTCTCAACTTTTCAGAAATAACGCCAGAGTTGGTTAAAATTGTAATTTTTGATATTACAACATACCAAATTGCCGCTGCGGAGAACCAATTTTGGAAGTGCAGCCGGTAAACATGACCGTAGAAATAGAATTGCCGGAAGATTGTGTTTGTATAGAAAAAATGATGATTAGCCATACATTCAGGGAGAAATGAAATCAAGAAGATGATGTCGACGAGAGCAAGACTGGCAAGCAGTGAGTTCGATCTGGAAAGTGAGATTCGCTTGAGCTTCACTTGAGCTTCACTTGGGCTTTGTGTCATTCTGTGTCAAATCTTAGCTTTCAGAAAAGCTTTCCTTTTACCCTTTCCAAAAACCCACCTTGTTCTCATCTTTTTCGCTAACAACACTGTTAGATTGAGTAGATTTCCACTGATGCCGAGCGCGGCGACAATTGGAACAATGTACCCTGAATGAATGAGGTAAAACACCTTTTGGAAACTATTTCAATGATTAAATCGTCTTTAAAAACAAACCAATCAATATTCGACCTAATTCACTGTAGCCTAATTTGAGTTGATCGTCGGTAAGACACCGTGCCAACGCGGCCCGAACTCCCGTCAGATTTTCGGCCATTTTTGGCCTGAAAAGGGACTTGATGAGAAAAAATGATTAGAAGTACTTGAGAAAGCAAGGAAAATTGATAAACAATGGTGTTTTCTGTGGCATAGAGCTGCTCAGCCACTTCAAAATGCTCATTTCATTTACATAGAGCTGTTTTCTTTGGCATACAGCTGCTCAGCCACTTCAAAATGCTCATTTCATTTACATAGAGCTGTTTTCTTTGGCATACAGCTGCTCAGCCACTTCAAAATGCTCATTTCATTTACATAGAGCTGTTTTCTGTGGCATACAGCTGCTCAACCACTTCAAAATGCTCATTTCATTTACCCAAACCAAGAAATGAGATTGATTACACAGAAATCTCAGAGTAAAGTACAAAAAAGAGTAAAGAGATTCGATTTTTTGGCAGAAAAACAGAAGAAATTTCAACAATTTCCTCAAAATTTTCACCGATTTTCCCTTTAGTGAGAAAATCTGTTATTAGATTGGAAAAGAGAGGAGAAAAAAGAAAAAAAAGATCAACTTTGAAGCGTTATAAGAGCTGCTTTTAGACCGATAATTTTAAAGATCAAGTAACTATAAATTTGTGGTATTTTTAGATGAAAAATTATTACGGAAATTTCTTCAAAATTTTGTTGCAAAGAAGGAACGAAAATGTTTTTGAACGGCTTCAATCTTCAATGAACAGAAAAGTGTGTCAAATTTCAAGAAAAACGCGAAGAAAATCTCGCTGAATATTCGGGAAAAAGGTTTCAAAGATCAGAAGAAAAAAGAAAGTTTTTCAATTTTTCAATTTTTCAATTTTTCTTCTAGTCAAATCGGAGCGAACCTTTTGATTGATTGTTTTCTCTTTGATAGTTTATAAGAGTCCCAAATCTTGACCAAGTTCAGAAAGCCAAGATTTCCAGCTTTATTTTGAATATAAAGATGATTGGGAAAAAGAATGGGAATCAATCAGAAATGGAAAATCAGAAGATTCCAGATTGATCCTGAGCAAAGCCAAAGCCAAAGTAAATCACACATTCTGACTTTTTAGTCATGTTAGATTCAAACTAAAGCTAGAAATCTTGGCTTTGTGAAGTTAAAGCTTAGAAAACTTGTTAGGATTCTTAGAAATTGAAGAGAAGATTGGGGATTAAGAAAAGCAAGAGCGAGATCGAGAGCGCGCACACTTACCCCAACACCATCGGGTTGGGAAAGAGCTTGAGGTTGAAGGGAAGGGGAAGGGCTTGAGGTTGAAGGGAAGGGAAAGAGCTTGAGGTTGAAGGGAAGGGAAAGCGCTTGAGGTTGAAGGGAAGGGAAAGAGCTTGAGGTTGAAGGGAAGGGAAAGGGCTTGAGGTTGAAGGGAAGGGAAGCGCCTTTTGTAAACATTTTCCTTGTGAACCATTGAGAAATGGGTAAAAAGTAAATGGAGGATCGTGTTTCCGATGCTCGATAGGCGTTTGCATCTCAGCGTGCGGCCAGTTCGGAGCATTCCCTTTGTTGGTATTCAATCATAACTGTTAAAAAGGTTAAGTGCCAAGATTCAGAGCTTAAAATTGATTCTTAAACATGTATCACAATTTCTTAAAACAATGGCAAAAGTTTCATTATTTTTAATGAGAATGGCTGAAAATGACAGGTGGAAATCAAGGAAGAAATTTTTTGAATTAAGAAATAAAAATGAGGAAAATGAAGAAAAAAAATAACAAGAAATCAATAATTTTCACCTGCAAACTTTTATTTTTTTGTAAATCATAAGGTTTAGAAAGGTTTTTTTGACAAAAATGGAATAAATATTGGAGTGATCAAAAAGGAAATGAAAGTTTGGGTTTAGAACGTACACTGTACACTTACTTTGAACGCACACTGTACACGTACTTTGCACGTACACTGTACACGTACTTTGCACGTACACTGTACACGTACTTTGTACGTACACGTACTTTGCACGTACACTGTACACGTACTTTGCACGTACACTGTACACGTACTTTGAACGTACACTGTACACGTACTTTGAACGTACACTGTAACGTACTTTGAACGTACACTGTACGTACCGAACGTACACTGTACACGTACCTTGAACGTACACTGTACCGTACTTTGACGTACACTGTACGTACTTTGAAGTACATGTACACGTACCTTAACGTCACTGTACGTACCGAACGTACACTGTACGTACCTGAACGTACACTGTACGTACCTTGAACTACACTGTCACGTACCTTGAACGTACACTGTACACGTACCTTGAACGTACACTGTACACGTACCTTGAACGTACACTGTACACGTACCTTGAACGTACACTGTACACGTACCTTGAACGTACACTGTACACGTACCTTGAACGTACACTGTGCACGTACCTTGAACGTACACTGTACACGTACCTTGAACGTACACTGTACACGTACTTTGAACGTACACTTTTTTGTGCCCTAGTTTCAGTGTAAAGTTGGGTGAATTAAAGCGAGCCGGCTAGTCGAAAGCTCAATGTGTGTTCACGCAAAGTAGCAGAGGAGTTTCACTTTCTAAACGCACCCCATTTGGCGTATCACTCAAAGATTTGAGTCTAATCTTATCCTTTTTTTTTAGTAAAACAGTTTACCGTTTACCATTTACCTTTTCTTTTACTTTGAGCTGTCACGTAAACGCACTGGGTCACGGAACTAGATCTATATGACTCTTAAAATCTTACTCCTCATCGACATTACTCCTTATCAACTACAGTACTCATTTTCCACACTATTCGACGCTATGAAGCTACGAGAACAATTGCTGATGCACCAAGAAGCGATAGACGCCAAACTTTCGTCACAAAGACAAACATCAAGCGAGTGAGGGAGAAGAAAGAAGCCAAATTAGTCGCCAAGGCAAAGAAGATGACGATTTCAAGCACCTCATTACGTTGAATCCACAAAAATAAGCTCAACCTTACTGCTTACTAGAAAAACAAGGCTCAACTTCTTTCGAATGCCGGCCCAAAAATCCAAGAAAGTCCATGAGTTTTGTCAAAACAACTTCCCGGACTTCATTTCTTTTTCTGATTGCACTCCAGACTTCAACCCAATCGAATTTTTGAGTGTGGTTGATTCTAGAAGCTTGTTCAAAGCCCTACAAAAGTATCGAAAGCTTGAAGAAATCACTGTTGAAAGCGTGGAAAGTGCTGATTGATCGATTCAGATTTGGTTGCCACTGTTGACGCCTTCCTGAAAAGCCAGCAAGCCTGCTCAAATTCTAATGATGGTCGATCCGGGTTTGATAGTCCAGTTAAAAATGTCTTTTTTGCTCTTGTCTGCCATAAAATCAGAGCTTTATCTTGTTGCGACAATTGTACAACATGCACTGCTTCAGAAAGTGTGCGTTTACATGAGCATAAAGTCCATGAAACTAAGCCAATGAACTCGAAAGTCGATCAAAATTATAGAAGTGAGAATTCTTTTAAATAAATAATGATTTTTCTAGATTTTTACATTTAAAATCAACACAAAGACACGTTCAAACGATTCTTTTTTTCAATGAAAAGAAAAGTATGAAAGAAAAGTCGGAAAAATATCTGTTCATTTCTTTTTTTAGTTAAATGAGCATAAACAGCTCTTCCGGGTCGACAGAATGATGGGAAAAAGAAGAAAATGTGATGAGAGTATCAGAAGGAATTGTGATGAGAATATCAGAAGAAATAGATTCATTTTTGAGATGATTTTGTGCTAAGTTGTTCTTTGTGCTTTCGGGTAATTGGACTATACTTGTTGGACTATATTGGACTATTGGACTATACTATTGGACTATAGCCAACTAAACTAACGAACTAACTAACTAAACTAAACAAAAAAACTAAAAACGAACTTTTTCATTCTATTTTATATCAAATTTTGTGGATTTATAAAAGAAATGAGAGAAATGGTTTGAGAATAACACTTTTAATATCCGACTTTTGTTTATTCATTTAGAATTTGATTGGAAAAAGATTTAGATCTTTATTTAAATCTTTATTTAAATCTAATTTAGATCTTTATTTAAATCTTTATTTACAGTGCCGGACAAAAGTTTAAGAACATGACCTCAAGTTACGGAAAAAGCTCAATATATTTTAGAAGGTGAAGAGTTTCATTTAGGTCTTAAAAGCATTTTTGTTTGCCTCAATTTCAGGAACTAAATACATCTTATAACAGGTCACAAATCTCAATACAAAAAAAGTCTTTGAGACTTTAAAGGAAACAGCCGGTATTCTAGCCGGACAAAAGTTTAAGAACAAGCATTGTTTGAATTCAATATTTCATTTTTCATTGATTTTTTTTGGACATTTTTATATTAATTTTTAGAAAAAATGACCAAAACTCAACGAATTTCACCTTCTGATGTGGATACCATTGTCCGAATGAGGGATCTAAAAAGCAAAACATTTGAGGAGATCGCTACGGCAATTGGATGAAAAAGGCACTCTGTTTGGCAAGCCTATCAACGTAGAAAGAACCCGAAGCCGACAAAGAAAATGGGAAGACCTCGAAAAACCAGTGACAAGTAAGTTTTTTTGAGATTTCGTTTTTAAATGTGCAAAATATTGCTCAGGATGAATCAACGCATCATACTAGCGTCCAAGAAGAACCCGTTTTTGACGCCGCCTGAGGTTCGTGAAGCTATTGGAGCGTCAAATGTTGATCGGAGAACAATACAAAGACGTTTGAACGAGAGTCACCTCTTTGGTCGAACTGCTGCTCATAAACCGTTCGTCTCTGTCAAGAACAAGAAAGTCAGGTTGAATTTTGCTACACACACGAGCATTGGACGGTTGCCGAATGGAAGAACGTGCTTTGGTCAGATGAATCCAAGTTCAACGTGAGCAATACGGACGGAATAAAACATGTTCGTTGCCCGCCGAACAACCGAAATGACGCACGATACACTGTTGGTACAGTTAAGCATAGAAATGGTAATCTCATGGTGTGGTCATGTTTTTCATTTGACTGCCATGGACCTTTGGAGCGTGTTCAGAGGATAATAGATCAATTTCAATACCGTGG